GTAATCTGTATATTTTGGGTAAGTGTTTCATCAGGTATATTTTTTTCTAAGCATTTATTCCCAGTTCGTGGTTTGTCTTTCCACTTTCTTGACAGTATGTTTTATAAAGTGGAAGTTTTTTAACTTTAACATAAAGTTTGGGTTATTATTTCTTTTATGGATTGCATCTTTGGTATTGTACTTAAAAAGTCATCACCATATCCAAAATCATCTAAATTTTCTTTTGCCTCTAAAAGTGTTATAGTTTTGCATTTTACATTTAGGCTTATGATCCATGTTGAGTTGACTTTTGTGAAGGGTGTAAATCTGTCTCGACTCATTCTTTTGGCATATGGATGTTCAGTTACCGCACTATTTATTGAAAACACTGTCTTTTTCTCGTGTTGCCTTTGCTCTTCTGTCAAAGACCAGTTGTCTATATTTATGTGGGTATATATTTGAGCTATTTTGTCATGCTGACCTATATATCCATTCTTTTGCCAATACCTCACCCTCTTGATTGCTGTAGCTTTATATTTAAGTTTTACAGACAGGGAAAGTCAGTCTTCAAATTATGCTCTTCTCCTTAATATTATGTTGGCTTTTCTGGGTATTTTGAATTTCTGTATAAACTTTAGAATCAGTTTGTTTATATCCACAAAATAACTTGCTGTTTGGGATTGCACTGACTCTATAGACCCAAGTTGGGAAGAACTGTTATCTTGATAATACTGAGTATTCCTATCTATGAACATGGAATATCTCTCCATTTATTTAGCTAAGTTTTGATTTTTTTCAGCAGTTTTCTAGTTTTCCCTATAGATCTTGCACCTATAGATTTATACCTAAATATACTCTTTTTTTTTTTTTATTTTTTTGGTACTAAGGTAAGTGGCAATGTGTGCTTTACATTTCAAATTACACTTGTTCATTGCTGGTATATAGGAAAGTGATTAACTTTTGTATATATTCACCTTGCATTCTGCAGCCTTGATTTAACTGCTTCTTAGTTCTAGGAGGTTTTTTTGATTTTTTTTTTCAGATTTTTCTACATAAACACTAATTCTATAGGTTTTTTAGCTTTATCTCCTTGCACTACTTTTCAGTAATTGTGCTAGGCTTTAAAATATATGCCTTGAATGTTTTACAGTGAACTTAGGGTGAAGACCATATCACTTCACATAAAACATATAACTCCATTTATCCCCAAGACTCCTCATAACCATCAGTTTGTTCTCTACAGTTAAGTCTGTTTCTTGGTTTTCCCCTCTCTCTTTCATTTTCCCTTTGCTCATTTGTTTTGTTTTCTTAACTTCCACATATGAGTTAAATCATATGGTATTTGACTTTCTGTGACTGATTTATATCATTTAGTATAATACTCTCTAGCTACCTCCATGTCATGGCAAATGGCAAGATTTCATTTTTTTTTTAAGATTTTATTTGACAGAGAGCGAGACAGAGAGCAAGCGAGCACAATCAGGGTGAGTGGGAGAGGGAGAAGCAGGCTCCCCACCAAGCAGGGAGCCCATTGAGAGACTCGAGCCTAGGACTGTGAGATCATGACCAGAGCCAAAGGCAGATGCTTAACTGACCAAGCCACCCAGGTGTCCAAGATTTCATCCTTTTTTTATGGCTGTGTAATACTCCATTGTGTATATAGATCACATCTTAATTATCCATTCATCAATCAATGGACACTTGGACTGTCTCCATAACTGCCCAGCTCAGTTGGTGGAACATGTGACTCTTGATATCAGGGTCAGGAGTTTGAGCCCCACATTGGTATAGAGATTACTTAAAAGTCATTTTTTTTTAAAGAGGAATGAGAATCATATATAGATAGATTATATACATAATCTATATATATCTGACATTTACAATTTCTTATAACCCTCATTCCTTTCTAAACATCTAAGTTTTCCTCTCTTGTCATTTTGCCTCAGCCTATGGTGTTTCCCTCAATATTTCTAGTTATGCCGGTAGACTGATAACAAACTTTCTTAATTTCTGCAATATCAACGCATGTTTATTTTGCCTTTGAAAGATATTTTTACTGGATATACAAATATCTGCTAAATTTTTCTTTTCCGAATCTAAAAAATATTGTCCTAGTATCTCCTGGGCTTTCAGTTTTTCTAATAGGAAATCAGCAGTTGTTTGAATCATTGTTTGCATATATGTATTCCCATGGAAGTTTAAAAATATATCTGCAAAGTTTTTGAGATTCTATACTTCAAAAGGTGGACCCTAACTCCCCTCCATTTGAATGTAGTCCAGACTAAGACTTGATTCTAATAAACAGAATATGGTAGAAGTGAAGCTGTGTGACTTCTAAGAGTAGGTCATAAAAATGTGGTTCAGAACACATATAAAGAGCTTTCATCTGGATTTCTCTTGATCTGCTACTCTGTCTTGTTCTAAGGGAGGGTGGCCATTATACCAAGTGGACACTCAAGCTGTTCTGGTAAAGGGTTCCCAAGGAGAGGAACTGAGGCCTCCTGCCCACCACCAACACCAATGCCCACCATGTGAGTGATACACCTTCTAGGTAGATCCTCCAGCTCCAATCACATCCAGCTTCAGAGGACCATAGTTTTGGTGACATTTGACTACCATGTTATGAAAGTTCTAGGTCATAATCTTAGCTGTTCTCAAATTCTTGCTCACAGAAAATGTGAGAGATAATAAACATTTATTGTTGTTTTAAGCCAAGAAATTTTGGGAAACTTTGTTATAAAGCAATGGATAACTATACTTCCTAACTCAAATATCTCTACATGTCAGAGTCACTTTAATTTACCAATGCTTCAATTTACTTCTATTAAAAAAATGTAAAATTCAAGATGCACCATAGCTGAAAAAAATCAATCTACGGAAGAAAATTATTAATTTTTGGTAACACCAGTCTATTTTAAAACACCATTTTGTCTTTCTGGTTTACCTTTGTAGCCTGAGCATACTTGGTATATAAGAAGACATTAAAGAAATATTGCTGAATGAATGAAAGAATTTACTTCTGCAGGCTCTAAGCTTCTGGAGGGCAAAAACTGTGTCTTATTCACCTTTTTTATTGTCCTCACATGGTATAATGCTTGACACTGAATAGGTCCCATTCACTGTTGAATTAACTCAAACTTAACTGAAGTTCTTGTTGAAATAAATGATCTAGAAGCAGAAGTGAAAAATCATGGCAGAAGACTCATTTTAAACATTTATACTGCACATTGACTAGTGCTTATTTTGAAGTCCCTATCACCAAAACAAACAAACAAACAAACAAATCCCCCAGATTTATATACTCTGTTGGCTCCTTGTAGATTTTATGGATTTTTATAATTTTCACCAGTAGAACCAATGTTCAAGTGTTTCTAGAGAATCTTTACGAAACAATATATAATGATACTCATTTGATTGTGCTCAGGTTGTAAACTGTTTTAAGGTGCTGAATTTGGCAAGTTAGCTGCAGAGGCCGTAATCTGAATTCCTTCTTATCTAGTCAAGTTTTATGCCATTTTAGTAGAGCTGAATTTTATGAGCATAGGGAGTTTGAACACTCACACAACATGTAAATTGAGCAACTACTTTCGATTCTTGAGGAGGTAGTGTATACCTAGGTGTATTCCTGTGGTTTATTGCACAAACCAGACTTCGTAGGTGCAAATCTTTACTAGATCACTTAACCAGTGTTGTGATCTTTGCCATATGGCTTAACCTCTGCCTAAATTGGCCTCATCTGTAAAATGCAGAAATAAATAGTACTTACCTCACAGGAATGTTGTGAAGATCAAACAGGTTAGTACAAGAAAAGTGCCAGGGTGCCTGGGTGGCTCAATGAGTTAAGTGACTGACTCCTGACTTCAGCTCAGGTCATCTCAGGGTTGTAGGATGAGCCCCACAACAGGCTCTGTGTTCAGTGGGGAGTCTACTTCTCTTTTTCTCCCTATGCCCCTCCCCCACTCTTGCTCTCTCTTCTAATAAATAAATCTTTTTAAAAAGGAAAGAAAGAGAAGTACCTGGCACATAGTAGGCACTGATAAAAATTAGTCCTTATTGCCGTCAATGCCTATCATGGACCTAGAATGTTGCAGGGGACTTGTAGTTCTTTATTAAACAAACGAGTAACTAAGATATGAGTATTGTGCGTACATCTATGCCACCTTTTGAAGGGGGGTAGGGGATTGTATTCATGAAAACACAAAAGTTTTGTTTATTCCTTTTTAGAAATTCTCCGTTAGATCAAGAAGCTGCAGCTGATTATACTTACTGAAAGAGGATATATAATAGTGGCAGATGATTACACCGAATTGGGAATTATAAGACAACACGCTTTTATAAGACAAAAAAGAGAATTTTTTATTTTTCACTTTTAACCCCTTCATAAACGCGAAAGTGGCAGAAAGGAGTCAAATATAAAAAGCAGCACAGAGTTTCTGAATTATCAGAATGCTTTCTGCACTGCTGGGCACGGGGAAAGACTATTCTTTCTAGCTTAGAGAGACAAGCTTCCCCTACTTGACTGTGAGCAACACCTGTAGAGAGGTAAGGAGCCTAATTAGACTCTAAATCCCCAACGCCGGGCACAGAGCCTAACCCAGAAGAAAGCCAGAAAAAAATATCTTAAAGGAACGGAGTATTAAATAATCAAGGCAACCGGGGCAGCCTTTGAGACAAAATATTCTACCTTTGGTCTCAAACTTTCCAAGTGTACCTCAACTTCCACCTACCTGGATAGACACAAGTCTTCCTCTTAGGAAGACAGTCCAGGGAGCAAGAAAAGTGATCCAGGGCAAATCTCTTCTCGGAGTCATGGGGCCGCCTCCCTCGGTTGTTGCTAAGGATGGGAAGAAGGCCAGAGATGAGGCTGGGCGGAGTGGAGCGCCTTCCGAGAGGCTGGGCCCCAGCCGCGTCCCACTTGGCCGGGCTCCCCCCGACCCCGCCCTCCCTCAGCCGTTCTAACTCTCGCACTTGGAAGGCAACGGTCAGCGTACGTGCCTGGAATGGGAGCCGGCGTCTCCGAGATGGGCCCCGAGGACTCCCACCGCCGCGGACCCCCCGGAGACCCAGGCAGTGACGGGCTGTGGCCCCCCGCCCCCCGTCCCGCGCGCGGCTCCCCCGGGGGCAGCAAGAGCATGAACCGCCAGGAGGAGGCCCACGCCGCCCGCCCGCGGCTGGAAGACCTCAGGCGGCGGCAGACGCGCGCCTGGCAGCGGACGGTGCCGCGCGGGAGCTCCGGGCGCCCTAGGGCGGAGGCGGGGCCGGAGGCCGAGGCGCCGCGAGACCCGCCGGGCACCGCGCACGTCGGGACCGCCCTGGCCGGGCTGCGCGCCGAGCTGGTGAGCGCGCGCGCCGGCGGCGGGCCCTCGGGCACAGCGTCGCCTTCCTCCAGTCCTGGGGCTCCAGTGCCGCGTGGGCCATTCGAGGACTTTCGAGGCCGCGGGGAGCTTTTCCCGCGGAGGAAGAGATGAGAGCGCGCAGTGAGAGTGAGCAAAGCACCGGCCGTCGGTCTCCGGGGCCGCTCGCCGGCTCGTGTCCCGACACGGTGCTGACGCGCCTACTTCCCAGCGCCATCTGGGAGGGGAGGGTCTCACAGGACCCGGGGTGCTGACACCTGCCCTGGGCGGAGTCTACTAGTGACACAGCCAAGACCCCCGTAACCATCCCCTCCCCAATATGTTCTGTATTTTTCTACCATAAAGAAAGTTGCCGGTGGGGGTGGGGAGCAGGTGGAGAACAAAATTCCCAACAGATAAAGGTTCAAATTCCCTTGTTAAGACACACATGCTCTTCTAATTCCTACTGGCCCTGTGACTTTAGGAATGGTAATGAGTAACTTTGGGATTCAGTTTACTCATCTATAAAATAGAGATAATAACCTCATAGGATTGCTGTAAGGATTGCATGAGATAGTATTATATAAAGAACCTACAGCATAGATACTATTCAATGGCTTTTATTATGAGGATAATTAAAATTACCTAAAGACTGTACAAAAAAAAAAAAAAAATCAAAAGTTTTTTTCCAGAAAGGAGTCAGGGAAGTTCACACATACACTGATGCTCTGTTCCTGGGCTATAGGCCATGGTCAACATCTTAGTCAACATTTTCACCATGGTGTATGACTGGTCATGAGGAAGAGGCAGAAGAGTGTGGAGGCTTTCTTTGCCTTAACACCATGACTGCTAGAAGAAGCAGTTTCTGATAAAAGGCTGTAACCAGACTTCGGTAGGGATCCGCACACAACCACACATGTATGTCCATGTATCGTGTGTTAGGGTCGTCGTCGTGTAAGGGACAATGATGAACAGATTCAGTTAATTAATTTATTTTTTATTTTTTATTTTTTTTAAAGAATTTTTTTTTAAGATTTTATTTATTTATTTGACAGATAGAGATTGCAAAGTAGGCAGAGAGGCAGGCAGAGAGAGAGGAGGAAGCAGTCTCCCTGCTGAGCAGAGAGCCCGATGTGGGGCTCGATCCCAGAACCCCAGGATCATGACCTGAGCCGAAGGCAGAGGCTTTAACCCACTGAGCCACCCAGGCGCCCCAGATTCAGTTAATTTAGAGACGTTGCTATTTGTGTCATTTATGCTGTTATTTGTTGTTAGGATTGGTCTTAATAGGATGCAATCATTTCTAGGGTTGGTGAGTGAATTTCAGGAGTTCCATTTACTTAAAATTATATGTAAAATGTGGATAAACAATTGTATGTAAAACGTGCATAAAGAACAATTGACCAGCTGGCAGTAAGAGTGGTGTGGAGACAGTGCCAGGAAAGGAAGCTAGAAAAGCAGGGCAGGACATAGAGAACCTTTGGAGGACTGAAGTTCCCTGGAGGCCTGGGCCAGGAGGGCCTTTCTGTACTGGTGGTTGTGTTGTTACTCTTCATTTGCTCTATGTTCATTTGCTTTATTCTTTGCAAATTCTTACTCTCAGAAAGGTGGTTCCAGGTGCTGAAGAATGAAGACAAATGTGGCAGAGGAAAACGGAAAGAAAATTTTATCCAATGACTTTACTTTGTAAACTGGGTGTTTGCTTTTTTTACTGTAAACCAGTATTTGCTTTTTCACTCACAGAACACCCTGGTTCATCCTGGTGTGGTTTCTGTTGATGAGGTGATGAAGGGTTTTAGGCAGAGAACAGGGTCCTCATGTATTAAATAAGACCTAGTTACAGAAATTTGCAAATATTTAATTATTCTCAACTGCATAACAAAGATGATGTTGCATTAAGCTTTGTTGGACAGTCTTTTAGGTAAACTGCCCTAGAGATTTATTTTTTAATACTTGAATTTATTTTTAATACATGAAGACCTTCATAAACCCCCACTGAAGGAGGGTATAAATCAGCCTTGCTGTATAACAGATTTCACTCTAGAGTGAAATTGTTAAGATTATATAAGTACATATAACTGTACATGTGCCTCTAAGGTGTCATTAAGTGTTTTTGCTCGACAGGGAGACCATCTAAAATCCTAAAAACTTGAAATGACAAGGAATCAAGTAAATGGGCCCAGATCTTGAAAGCTCAGGTGGCCCTGGGCAGTTAGTTCTCCTGTAGCTCAGAAAGCTCAGAAAGATAAATGATTGCATTGCAGATCACATGCCATTGCTTGAAAACAGCCTTCCATGCACAGGAATTTCTCGTGTGGACAGCTTTGTGCGTCAGCTATTTTTGTTTTCATTTCAAGGCTATTTCAAAAGCGATTTGTATATCTGGATTTTACCTTGTCTCATAGAAAGTCAGTTTTATGGCCAGGCCAAACAGTCAGAAATGGAGAATCAGATGACAAATACATCTTTTTTGATATCTTATTTTCCTTTCCCACAAAGAATTTATTTTTCCTGTGCAGAGAGCTGTTTCATTTGATCTGTTATCTCAGGCTAATAAAAATCCTTATTCTTTTTCTAACTTTTAGCTGGAAATGCGTTTCCAAAACCACCAGCTGGCCAAAACTTTACTGGATTTAAACAAGAAAATGCAACGATTGAAAAAGGAATATGAACTGGAAATTGCATCCGAATCTCAAAGCTCTGAACGTAACATTGGGAATCTGGAATAAGGAAGTGCACACTTGAAGATCTGAACCCTAAAAACAACACAGACAACTCCAAAAACAATTCTGATAGAAACATTATGGATGCTCTAAGATTTTAGGGGCAGTTTGTAGGCCAAAAACTTAGATGCTGTTGGGAAGTGACAGAAAGCATTTAAGAGAAGGGAGAGAGAAAATGGTGTATTATCAAGTTTTAAAGTTATATAGTCATAGTTTTGGCTGGGAAATTCAAGTGAAAAAAATGCAATGAAGAAGGCCTAAGACTGGTTTTTAGCTTTCTATCTTGTGCTACTTCCAATTTGCTGGCATTACCTGAACTTTTAGAATCTGTGCATGTTTTTAATTGATTATTCTTGGTTTGTCTGTCCAGTTAGCTTTCAGTGTCTCCCCCTCCCGCCCCCCCCCGCCCAGTTTTTATTTGGGAATTACTTCTACCTATACTCTAACCATACCCTTAGGGAAGAGTCTTCCAATAGGGATGCCCTGCCTCCCTTAGATAGAGTCTCGCAGATCAAGACAGAATGATCAGCTTGTTCTACAAATTTCTGAAGTAGAAATAAGGGAGTGGATGAGTATTCCCTGTTGGTAGAAACCTTGAGATTGGTAGAAGCCTTGCGATGAGGGGCTTGGAAGCTGCTGGTGGCCAACATGTGAGAAAGTGCCAGCTCCAGTGGAGGAGGTGGAAACTGCCCCAGAGTGCACAAAAGTCATGGAAAGAGCTCATCTTCCTTGTCCTTGGGGTTGAGCTGCATAAAATCCCAGTGCTCACTGTCATCTGGATACATGAGAATATTCTAATATCCTCCTGAAGAAATCTCTTTCTGCCTAAGGAAGTTCAGTTGGATTTTTATGACTTGTACCCCAAAGATTCCTAACACAATTCCTTTGTTCAGTTTTTAGGAGTTAACGTGATTCATGTTGAATTAGAATATCTATCTTTACCCTAAAAGTACTGCCTCTGTAATGCACAAAATAAAATTAATAAGAAAATAATTGCATACCTAAGTGATATTCATAAAGGTCATTATCTGTAAAAATAAAAAATTAATGTGTCCTTACCTTTTTTCCACTAGAAGTGAATTATGCAAGGCTTTTGGTACTTTCTTTCCTCTGTAAAACTGAGGTATCACTATGTTCAACCTACAGGACACTGTCAATGAGCCGTGGTTGGCATTCTATCTGGCCTCTGGATTTCTTGAGAAATTCTGCATATGAGCTCTTGGCTTATAAATATACAGACTGATTTCTTGAATTATATTTGTAAAATAGATTTTCTATATGTCTCTCCCTCACAGTTATAGAAATTCTGAAGAGTTGATGGAATTCCTTGTGATCTGTTCTTTGAAAATTTGAAAAATATTCTCATTTAAAAAAAATGTTGGGGCAGTCATTCTCAAGTACATTTTTAAAGTTAATATTGATAAATTGTGGTTCTGCATTTATATAATACTCAAGATGAATCATTTTATAAGCTCTTCCTTGACTACACAGAAGCCAACACGGATTAGTTTTCATATGAATAATTCGATTGTAGTGATGATGTGCTCTATCAGAACTCAAAAGAAACTTAAAGGAGAACTTCTGTAAATAGATCCTTGTTTTTCCCTTTTTTCAGATATAAAAGTGCTGATCAGTTTATTGTAAAGTTTTCCGTCGTTACTTTCCTTCCCTATCTTCTAGCGATAAGTTGTGGATCCCTGTATCTTTGGGGAGTGACAGATGCAGAAACTGAATAAGAAACTCTTTGTTTCAAAAGCCTTTACTATGGGGAAGCCCTAACCAGTGGGACTGGCCTTGATCTTTGCTGTTAATACTGAGATTCGATGAGAGCCTGATACACGGGACACTACTGTTATTCAATGTTTTTGGCCTGTTTCCCCTCATAAAGTGAATCTGTTCTCATAAGACATGCCTTCCTTTTTTTTTTTTTTTTTTTTTTTTTTAAAGTAGCAGAAGCCAGATTGTTTTACTATTTGCTTGTTACAGTGGCACTCGGCTGTATGTTGTTCGCCTACTAAATTCTGGTCCTGCTGTAGCACATGGAAGGACAGCAGGGACACTTTTCTGGGGGATGTGGGGATGTGTCTAAAATGGCTACATTTCCTGGCTTTCCAGAGTGTTTAAATAAGCTAGAACAACAGTGTGGCATCCTAAGGAAATACGACATAGAAGGGACCAGACGGCTGCCAGTGGAGGGGAAAATGAGAAAATAATAACCTCAATTATGCAACAGGGAAGCAGTAACAGGATAAGCCAAAGAAAGTGAGATGTTCCTACCAACAGTGGGTAGAGAGGGCCCAAAAGAAGAGCAACTTAAACAGCTTAGCGAGGAAAATACCTTATTAAGGTTTTGTTTTGCTTTCAAATGATACAATTTCTCACAGCCTACATTATGGAGGGAAAAACCATGTTAGCAGGAACTGGGCTTTCCCTAGATAGAGGATGCTACTTGGTTAGCGCCTAACGGTAAAGAGGTGCCAAATTAATTATGACAATTACAAGCCTCGCACAGGTTGTTAGGCATTAAATGCCTTTACAGCTGGCCCGGATGAGTCCACGTTTTGTTTGGCTTGCCAGATGATGTCTGCCGGAACAGGTGTTTCTGGAGCGCTCAGTCTGGGGACAGATGGGAGTGAACCCATGATGGCTGAGTCTACACCAGTGTCATCACAAGAACCCCATCTCCCCTGGTCCCTGCCCTGGCAGGGATCGGGGCCCGGGGCAGCCATCAGCTATGTTTATTTACCGCTATATGATCACTGCCGGAGTCCCTCCTGGCCTCTGGCCTGGCACAAGGCCCTCAGTGCCAGCTGCTTTCTCTCTCGATGCGTTCAGCGACGCCGCCGCCGCCGCCACCACCACCACGGACGCCGCCATTGCGCCTGCCTCTCGGCCACGTGATTACCGAGGAGGATTATGGGGGATTAGAGGTCGGTGCAGGTGGACGCCGGGCCTTTGCGGCCCTGCCGGCCTGTGCGTCTGGCAGCCTGTTCTTGTCTCCCGGGTACCCGTGCCGGCCACTGTAACTCAGATGGCTGCGCACCCTCGCAGCAGCCTGAATCGGGCTGTGTCCTCGCTGCTTCCCGACGCCGGCTCCGGGGAAGGAGGAGGGTTAGGAGACGGCCCGGCGTCCTTAGGAGATCAGGGCCACCGTCCTGTCTGCGCGGCCGGGGCAGGCGGAGCCCCGCGGTGTGAGGACGCTAATGAAACCAGCAATGTTGGGAGCCCCCACTCCTGTGCCCGGCGTCGTGCCAGGAGCTGCGTGTGCCCTCGTTTGGTTAATCCTCGGTGTGATTTGTACGCAGGCAGAACACATTTTCGGAGTCACTTGGCTTGGCCTCGGCACCAGCTCTGTGAGCTAAAGCGAATTCTTTAGCTCTATCTGAGAAAGACGGTGGAAAGAGAACCTGTCTGCCTTAAACCGCGAGGAGCCCAAACGGAAGAGTGCCGGGCCAGGTTGGGGAGACTGAGTGAGCGAAGGCTCTTCTGTTCCCTGCGAGTTTTTTTCATCGACTCTGTTGTTCGTGACCTTCCCACCCTCGGGGACTCAGACCTTTCCTGTGCCTGCCCCTCTCTTCACTGCACCTTTGTGTCTCGTATACTGCGCTGCCTGCCCTCTTTTAGGACACCGACTCTTCGTCTCCCCTGCTTATTGATAAATCGATTCGCCAAACTTGAGCGTGAGCACCACGGAGATACAAAATTAATAATAACCGCGCCTTACCAAACCCCAGATCTGTCCGGCATACAGTGCTACGTGCAGCTTAAAACTTAATTGTCTCAACAGCACTGTGAGTCGGAATTACTGTTTCTGCCATTTTGTAGAGGAAGGAGAATGAGTATTGAGAAGTTATACGACTTTAGGTCACTCAGCTGGCAGGCAGCTCAAGCAAGATTAGGGTCCAGGGTTGGCTGTGGGCTCACTACCCAGACCCTTCCAGAGTGATGGGGGAGACCCAGGCACACATGAATAAATGCAGCAGTGTAACAGAAATGATAACAGAAGCACATATAAAGTGGGAGGGATGCTTTTTGCAAGGGACAGCCAGAGAAGGTGTCCTTGAGGACTTCGCCCCCAGCATAAAACTAGCTGGGGAACCTTGGACAAATTACACTGCCCTCTTGGAGACTCATTCTTCTCACTGAAAAGTGAGAGTGGAAGTGGCCTGTATAACATCCCTGTAACTTAGAAACCGTTCTATTCTAACCCTGCCTGTTGGAGCTGGACTCTTCAATCACTCAACCCTGACTCGCCCAGACTGTCTGCTACCTGTGGAAGCCCGGTGGGTCACGGACTCCATCAGTGGCCCCGGGGATGACTTGGACTCTCCTGGCCCCAGCCCTTGCCCTGATCACAGCCCCAGCTGTTGCAGCCTTGATGATGACAGGAAGCAATTCTTGTCGCTCTCGGAAGCCTCTCTGCTCTTCTCACCCATACATGACAGCAGCCAGGGGAAATGTCACATTTGCACTTCAGAGGGAGACAAGCACTGCTCAGTCCTTTCATGTGTTAGATTCTAGAAGCAGCCTGGCAGATTACCTGCTGTGGCAGACACTACAGGCCCAGAGCAGTGTAACGTGGAGTTAGGAGTGCAGCCTCTGGAGTCAGGCGATGGAGTTCGAATCTGGGCTTCTGCACTGCTTTGCTCTGTTACTGTCTCCAAGTGGAGTTTGCTTCTCTGTAAAATGGTAATGATCACACCTACCCCATGTGAAGATCTGTTGGACTAATCGACATGAAGTGCTTAGAATGCTCTCAAGTACTGTCTGTTCCAACAGACTACCCAACAAACATTTTGCTCGTTCTTGCCTGTTGGAAAAGCCCAATTCCAAAACAGAGACTGAGAATGACAGTTTCACTTTTTATAGGCCCTCTGGCTACAGAATCCAGTTTTGTCCAAAAAGACATAAGGGGAGGCTTGCTGGGGGGGTTTCTGAGAAACAGTTGCTTTCCTTACAAAAGGAGAAATGGGAGGGAAGCACTCTTCCTCCTTACTTCTTCTTTTCTTGCTTAGGAACCTTGTCACTTGAGGTGGTAAAGCGGCACCTGCTGCAGCCACCTTGTGAACAATGAGGGAGATAATATGGACACTTTGAAGATGAGAAGATAGGAAGATGAAAAGCAGCAGTGTCTCTGATGGCATCATTGAATGGCTGAGCCAACCCTCAGACTGCCTCCCTAGGGCTTTTTACCTGTGATGCAGTGACAATAACAAGATACAACTGTTTAGGGGCACCTGGGTAGCTCTGTCGGTAAAGCATCTGCTTTCGGCTCAGGTCATGATCTCAGGGTCCTGGGATAAAGCCCAGTGTTGGGCTCCCTGCTCAGTAGGAAGTTCGCTTCTCCCTCTCCCTCTGCCCCTCCCCCCACTCATGCACACCCATGCTTTCTCTC